TGTTAACAGTATAGGGTTGTGAAAACTGTTGAATTATATTGAAAGCATGAATGGAAATAAAAGTGAAACAACCATTAAATACCTTATAACCCTGAATCTGCGTTTCATCCTAGTATGGAACCTCTCAAAAAGGCTATTTATTAACTTGGTGCCAGGAATAAAGATCAGGACCTTCGGTATCTCGTCCAAACGCTTAGCCTTTAGACCAATGGAGTTCTATCAAGTCTGTTGTAGATATATCAATTCACTGAAGACAAATGGTGAACGGTTGCTCAAAAACATTGTGAATTGGTTGAAGTTATAAATTAACACTGTCGGATACCGGCTCAGTGGTATATTGGTCAAGTGCTCTGGCGCAAGACTGTTAGGTCCTGGGTTCAAATCTCGCGAGTGCGGGATCGTGTGTGCGCACTGCTGAGGAGTCTCACAATAGGACTTGACGGCCGTCCAGTGTTTCCAGGTTTTCCATAGTGGTCTAGCTTCAATTGACTTATGATTTCATCCATGAAAATACCTAATTCTCCACAAAACCCCTTCTGATTTAGAACATTGAGCTGAAATTGAACAGTTTTAATCTCAAACTTTTATTAATCTTTAATATTGTATGACTATCTTCGATCTTCTATTTCTTTAATTGAGTTATTAACATTTAAGTTAATTGGTTACCGTAAATGATATTTACTTAACAGTATTTTAATAAAACTAATCTGTCATTAAGTCTAATATGACTGTTATCGGAAAGATACAACAATAAATAATCATAGCAAAACAACCAACACTTTCACACAAATAAATAAATGAATAAAACAATATGAAAATAATTACAACGTTTCGTCCAGTTAACTTGCCTGGACTTCTTCAGGGTAATAATCAAAATCAAAATCGTCTAAGAAATATATATAGTGTTTTTCTTTAACAATCATATCAAAATCTATACTATTATAGGATTAATTTTGAGGGGACCAAAATATTTCAGAAAGGTTTCAACACTTATAAAGAAAGATTGACAGCAGAAGCGCTGTATATATAAGCGAATAAGAACAGCCTAAACAGAAAGGATGATATTCAGCTAGCAACCATTTGGTAAATATTCATCAACAAACAAATAATTGGATCCCTTTCTTTCTTTATTCAACCTGTTTATTTGACATGAATCGTTATTTCGACTGAAATCAATATGAGTTATGTACTTGATGATTCTAATTTTTTTACATTCAACTCAACGATTCTCAACCTTTAATTTGCACTTTTATTTTTTATAGTTGAAAGCGTGAGTCAATTGAAACTAGACCACCATGGAAAACCTGGAAACAATGGACGGCCGTTTCGTCCTATTATGGGACTCCTCAGTGGCAGTGCGCATCAACGAACTCGCTCTCGCAAGCGAGATTTGAACCTAGGGCTACCAGTCTCGAGCCGAAGCCCTTAACCGATAGACCACTGAGCTGGCATCCAACGGTGTTAATATCTAACTTCAACTGATCCACGAAGTTGAGCAACCATTCACCAATTGTCTTCAGTGAGTTCCTATCTCACAACAGACGTGGTTTTGAACTCCACTAGTCACTGCTTCTCACTAGAGCTCCTAGATATACTTCTTGAAGTATTTTATTTTTACTTCATATTAGAAACATATCAACACCGAATATCATTCATTAATAACTCATTCTTACATATACATACACACAATTCATCCAGTCTAATTTTCTTTCACATCGTTGAACTTTTCAGTTGATTCTCATTTAACTGACTCATATTGTCCTGTTTACAGAAATTCAACATACAAATACGATTAGTTTAATGTAGTATAGATTTTGATATGATTGTTAAAAATCCACTATATTTTCAGAAGTGGGTTTTGTGGAGATTTTAGTAATTTTATATAATTGAGACTGATAGATCCTAGGTTTGAATCTAGCGAGGCTAGATCGTGGATGCGCACTGCTACTAAGGAGTCCCACAATAAGACGAAACGGCCATCCAGTGTTTCCAGGTTTTCCATGGTGGTCTAGCCTTAATTGACTCATGATTCCATCATATATTTCTTTGATGATTTTGATTATTTCCCTGAAGAAGTTCAGACAAGTTAGCTGGACAAGACGTTGGAATTATATAAATTTCAATCGCTGAGATTATTTCAAATATAATTTTCACATAGAATGTCTTCTCTATACTCGGAGATCAAATTTTTTCAAGCTATTTGTTCTAATCTTGACGAATATTCGTATAAATTCAAATGATGATTTCTATTTTCTCATAATTCATGATTAAACATTCATAATTTTTTTTCGTTTTTTACTATATCTATTTATTTATTTGTTTGAACACATAAATATTGGTACAAGGAAGCACCAGATAAATATGCGCCGCACAATTCTCATTTCATTTGTGTGAGGGTTGTGATACTGCCCAGGTGGTTTTCTTAGGGGGCCACACCCCAAGCCTTTGACCTAAAAATCTTATCCACAAGTCAGTGAAGCATCGTAAGGAGATGCAGTTCCATGGTAGACGGCGACGAACGATTGATTCATACGCTATTTGATTACTTAGGTTACTGGAGCCCACGTGAACCATTGGTTTGGAATCACGGTTTTCCAACTCCCGTAGGTGGATGCGCCGTGTCCACCAACCCGGTTAAAGCGCCCGACATTTTCTTTTTGTCCTATCGATTTCGTAAACAACACCCGTGGTGCGAGAAGGTAGTTAGTAGGACTTCCATGGCAGAGACTATATGCACGTGGTCATGTGAGAGCATTTCGAGAGTGAGAGTGAACCCTCACCACTCTCGGCCGTACTATGGCATTTGTGTGCTCTAACGTTTAACTATCCACAAATACAATTATAAGTTCATTAGAATTAAGTAACAAAAATTGATTGACAAGTGAAAAATTACAATGATCATCTATATTATTCAGAATAAGCAGTTGTTTATGGATATTTGTACATTTTCCTCAATTATGGAGGTGATTTTTCATGTGTTGACTCTGTATAATACGGCTGTTTTTTTACCGTTAATGTTGAGAATTGTGAATTTAGTTGGGGATGATAGTTCATTTTAAATTTCGTTATCTGTAGGGATCTAGCATTTTCTTTAGTAATTCGTGTATTGTCGTTTGTATCACATCTCTCATGTTTATTAATGCTGGCTTAAAGGGTTATACATCTACCATCATTGTCAAATGATGCTTGGTTGGTAATCGTTGTGTTGTACTTCAAGGTCTTGCTTTTATGGTGTACATGTTGATACTTTTTTCTACTGTAACCGATGCTACACCGAATCTTTTTATCTAAATTTGTCACTGCAATAGTAGGGCTTAGTTACCTACAAAATCTTAATTGTCCAGCTGTACTTAAGATGTCCTTTGTATTTCACGCTTCTCCTTAAGTTTGAAGTTCTTTATAAAATGAAGTTAGTAGATAGAAAGAGGAGAAAAGTTAACGATAGGTGGACTTGTCTGATATTTTTCTTAATTCAAAATCCATTTATGAGCTACCCTCCTTCATAGGTATCCTGTTTGATGGTTACAATCTTCTCAGGTGGTCTGTAGTATCAAAGATTTTACAGGTTTTTTCCACCAAACGCTTTCACGTAATCTGGAAAAGTGATGTATATTGATGAGCTTCATCTAGTTGTTTATTCAACAATGATTCACGGAATCGTTCTGATTAGCTGATCAAGAACGACCAAGTCATTTTAGGTATATAAAGTACATATCAAACTATGATGTTGGCTGTTGACTGTTTGATAATGAATTTCTTTTGAAGAAAACACCATTATGATCTTAAAAAAAGTTAGTTTACTGAGAAAAAACACTCATCTGAGACTGCGAAAACGAAATAAGTGCAAATAAATGTAAACATGAACGAGATGGAATGATCTTAAGGGTTAAGATTAGGAGCAGGGTAGAAATTCTAGTCAACTTTAAAAACAGGTACCTATAACATCAAAGCAATGAATAGTTTTTTTAACTATTCCATCAATTGGGTTGTTGAAGACATTGGTGAAGTGGTTGTTCAATTTCGTGGATTAGTTGAAGTTAGATATTATACCGTTGGATGACAGTCCGCTCAGTGGTCTATCGGTTAAGTACTCGCGAGTGAGACTGGTGGGTCCTGAGTTCGAATCTCGCTCGCGAGGTGGGATCGTGGATGCGCACTGCCACTGAGGAGTCCCACAATAGAACAAAACGGCCGTGCAGTGCTTCCAGGTTTTCCATGGTTGTCTAGCTCTGATTGACTCATGATTTCAACTATGTATTCCATTAATTGTAAATCATTTATTCATCTTAGTTCTTTTTTGATCAACTAAAACTGGCGCTATTCTTAAGGTTTACCAGTACATAGCCTAACTAATACATTAAGCCTTTAAGGAAAATAGATTTTTAGATCATCATAGAAGGGTAAAAAGGAATTTTTTCGAGTTAAATATCTGTTATTTTGTGGTTTAAAAATATCTATCTTATATTGATGTAATAGTTTATATCAATCGATTAGAGTTTTAATCAACGTCTCATTATTGTTGGGTGTTTAAGAAAAATTGATAACAAACTATTGATCTAATTTTTGTGACTTTTGGCACTCATTAATCAAGGTGATCTATAATTATGAAGAAATTGAAGCTTTTTGGTGAATTTTAATCGACGTTATCTGGAAACATTTATTGCTAAGTTTATAACATATAAACAGTAAAAGATAAAATCTTTCCCTTGACAAAATTTTACATCTGTCAATATTGTTCAGAAGCAATTGTTAGTATCAAGAGATGTTGATGTATTGTGTTGATATGTGTGAACCAGTAATAAAAATTCAAAATCAATGGTCTTATGTTGACTGCTGACAACCCTCTATTTATATGTTATATTATAAGATAGCAACTAAAAATCAATAAGTTTAGACTTCATTTTACCTATTCTTATAAAAAAACAAATGAACCTTAATTTTTATTTAATATAATTTATTTTTTGTTTCTATTACAGAATATAACAAATATTTTATAAAAAATGTCTTCATCTAAATTAAATTCTTATAAAATTAAATCATCAAATCAAAATATATCTCAATTTAAATCAATTGATAATATAAATGTTTATAGTTGTCATAGTAACACTGTTAATTCAAAATCATTTGAATCTATAAATTATAATAAACAAAAAATAACTCAATTATATTATCCATTAAAACATTGTAAAATAACAAATGATAATGATTTATTGAATAGAACAAATATACAATATGATAAAATTAATGGTCAAATAAAATCACAATTACAGACATCAATAACAAAAGTACCAAAATCTATGATGCATAAACAAATTAAATTTATGGATTATGTATCAGAGTAAGTAAAATTACCTGTTTTTTTTATTGTTATTATTCCATTAATTATTGATTTAATCAAAAAAAAAAAAAAAAAAAGATTAAACTATCAGATATATAAATGAATATTACCTAGGTAACTGATCAACTGTTGATTTATATCTGATATTGTTCATTGAAGACTTCCTTTAAGAAGGATTAGTTAACATTTTTAAAATGACAATATAATTTGTGATGGTCAATATTCTATATTATCCATAGGATTCGTGTATTGTTCATCCTGATAACCGTTACTCGATAATGTCCTAATGGTGTATAAATCAAAAAAAACGAATACAAAGGGTTGATTGCGTTTATTATTGGACAACACGTAGATATCCAGAATTACAGGCATGTTAAGCAATCATGAAAGAGTAGTGCCATAGAGCAGATGAGTGAGCATGAGAGTTGAGTGAACGAGTGAGCGAGAGACAAATTGATCTAGTCAGCGAGTAACCAAGTACGGTGAACAGGATTAAGATGTACAAATGGAAAAACATGTATCATCGAATCAATTAAGCGATTAATAGTAAGGCTGGCAGAATCAATACATCCGTAGGAAGTAAGCGATGCTCAAGCGTACATAATAAAGATAAAATAGTATAGATAGGTTGTTGTTGTTGTACGAATGACTGTCCGTTAAATAAGTTAAGAAAAGGGCTTAACCATATTAGATATAAACAAACTCAATTGTATGTGAGCTGTTATAGAATAATAAACTACAGCAAAACCTGTTTTGAAACTTATCGGTTCAAATCTGTTATATTCACTACAAAACATAATTGTTGTACGCTTGAATCTTCGTATATTATTGATAAATTTCGAATCATAACGAGAAACTGCTAAATGTTTCTTGCATTTCTTATGGTTTTACAACTGATGTCAGTTTTTGATTAAAATTATTCATACATTTAACAAAAAATCTTTCACAGAACTACCTTCAAATGATATATTAAAGTTAATTTTTATTCAATCTAAATGATATTATGATTAATAAAAAAAAAACATTTGAAGATTCGTAACTTTTTCTTGAAATGTAACTGTCAAATTGAACAATGACAAGATGTCATTTTGATGAATTAATATGTTAATAGGCATCAATCAATTCAATCTTTCATAACATAAACGTTTAAGAAAAAAAACAACAACAAATATCTGAAACTTTTAATGGCATAATTTGTTTTTTATCAGAAGGGGGTTTTGTGGAGATTTTAGTATATTTATTTAGTCGAAATCATGAGTCAATTAAAACTGGACCATCATGGAAAACCTAGAAACACTGAACTGATATTTCCTGGGTTTGAATCTCGCATGACGAGATCGTGGATACACACTGTCACTGAGGAGTCCCACAATGGGAAGAAACGGCTGTCCAGTGCTTTCAAATATTTCCATTATGGTCTACCTTCCATTGATTCATGATTTCAACTATATTTAAATTCGTTTTGTTACTTTTATGTAAACAAATATATTATACAAGTTGATATTTATTTATATTCATTTCATAATAGAATTGAATATAAATTAAATGTTATTTAACTGTGTACGTGATAGTAAGCGAATTTAACCAACATCATAAATCTTAAACAGATAAGTCCAAATATAGAAAGAGACATGATCTAGTTTATGTGGTAAAGGAAATTACCTTACAACAAAAATCAATGTTTTTTTGTAAGTCTGACATAGAAAGTTTTCAGTTGAATAAATTACAAGGCAACTATTAGTGTTCAAGTTACAATCGTCAGAGTTGGTTCTTAGTTGGATCATCACTGAAACATAGGGATCTCTGAACAGTTATTTTATCCTTATTTTATAGCACAATTAAATTTTTTTATGGCTACTTTTTCCAGGTTCTCTAATTAACTTCTTGAATAGACATTGTTAATCATACAGTAACAATATGTATATAAATGTATGCGTTATTATAATGTATACATGAAGATGTATGCTTGATCACATGTGACAGCCTATACACATATCCCTGTTCAGCTTAAATGATGCTTAAAACACTCGATGAATCATTCGCTTTACCGTATATATGTGCTATATATACACATGTGCTTAAGTTTTATTAACTAGTTCGACTCTTTATTCTTCTCTACACCCGCTCGCTCTCTCGCTTTCATTATCTTTTCTGTTCAAATTCGCTTGGTGTGCTTGTGTTTTAGTGATATGTGCTACTCAATAAAAAGACTTTAGTCAGCGCTTCATACTGTCTTCTGATTTCATACGCCAATGATGTTTATTTAATAACAGTTATCATGAAGATTGTTATACGAGATATAAGGAATTATCTTGAAGCTAATCCACTACAGCATGTTGCTTCACGCATGTATCCCGTCACTCATTCCCTATAAAACTAAGTATCATAATCTCACAGTGATTAGACGAGTAAACTTTTTCATCTATAGTTCACTATTGAAGCATCATTATCTGAACATTTCTTCTTTATTTTCAAATTTATTGTTCCTTATAACATATTATTTGCTATGGATTGTTTACCTATCTTTTGTATGCTACATCAATTCATACAAAATGAAATTATTTTCATGTGGTACTTACAACGTATTTAAGTAGTTCAAAATGTAAAACTAAATTTTCAGTCTGGGGTTGAGGAGATTGGTTAAAGTTAAACACCAACAGTGTTAGTAACTGACACAGCGGTCTAGAGACTAGGCGTTCGTGCCAGACAAAAGATCCTGAGTTCAAGCATAGTGTATGGAGTCATAGTTTCGCACCACTGAAGCTCATACCGAGATGAAAAGGCTTTCACTGGTTGCCTAACATTGATCAGTTTGTCATTTCAATGGAAAATATATTTATTCTTGACTGAAACTTTCAGTAATGTAGTCATTAATCGATTTACTATTTAACTTCAGTTCATCAACGATGTATCCTTGATGATCACGCTTAAATTTTTATAAAATAAATTCAAGAAAGTACATTCTTCAGATGGATGTTAAACGTTTTATATCCGCCATACTTAACAAATTGAAACCTCCTTTCTAAACTATTATTCAGTCTAAAGAGAAACGTATCACATCAATATTGGTAAATTCTGGTACTTAATGATCACTCAAATAATAGATGCATTTATAGGTAGTAGAAGTTTAGGAATGGTTACAGTATTGCTTCAAAATCGATATTTTATTTCTACTTCAATAGTATTCATATTTCATTATTTGTTTATTATTGTTTTATGAATAATTGATAAGAAATTGTCATCAGTGACAAAACATAGAGTTTCAACAACAATTGATTAGAGAAATCTTGAGTTTTAAATGAATAAATTTGAAACCAACTGATTATATATGGGTGACCATGGGGACACATATATATATATTTTAATGGGTGAGTTTATGAGTCGATTAAAGCTAGACCTTCATTGAAAACCTGTAACCACTGAACGACTGTTTCGTCTTGATATGAGACTCCTTAGCAGTGCGAATCTACGATTCTGTCCAGTGCTTCCAGGTTTTCAGTGGTGGTCTAGCTTAAATCGACTTATAAATTCCACTATTACAATGATTATAATCTCCTAAAACCCCCCATTCTGATATTTTTTATTATTATTTTTATTAAACTAATACAATACCTTTCTTTTTACATTGTTTTACAACAAATAATAATTCAAGTTCATTCTTATACATAGTTTGTTTAAACTTCTTCATGATGTTTAATTGTCTTTCATTATAAGTGATCTTCATTACGTTATTTTTTCAGTAACAATCAAATTTTATAAAATTTTCAATTTAATAAATAGATAGAAATACTGGGGCTATTTTCTTACTGATGTGATTATTATCTATTTTCACAGTTGAAATCATGAGTCAATTGAAGCTAGATCACCACTGAAAACCTGGAAGCACTGGACAGAATCGTAGACGCGCATTGTTAAGGAGTCTCATATCAGGACGAAACGGTCGTCCAGTGGTTACATGTTTTCAATGAAGATCTAGCTTTAATCGACTCATAAACTCACCCATTAAAATCAGTGGTCTATCGGTTAAGGCCTTCGGCTTGAGACTGGTAGGTCCTGGGTTCGAATCTCGCGGGTGCGGGATCGTGGATGCGCACTGCTGAGGAGTCCCATAATAGGACGAAACGGCCGTCCAGTGCTTCCAGGTTTTCGATGGTGGTCTAGCTTCAATTGACTCATGATTTCAACTATGAAAATTCTAAATTCTCCACAAAACCCCCTCTGATCTATTATCTATTTTTTGTGTCAAAATTAAAATTTCTAAATTATACAAATGAATTTACAAACATTGTAACTTGATGAATTATGTAGATTGGTAGACCTAGTACTTTGTTTTATTTTTATTATTCTGTAAGTGTTAAGATGTATAATAATTAACAGATGAATAACCGTCAGTCAATTCAAATGTTGTTAAGGTATTATTAAAAACAATCTCTAAAACTTACCTTAGATGTATTGACGATAAATATATATTTTAACTTGTTGCAAGCATTTGCTTCCTGTACCAATATCATTTACCGGTAATCAATTCTATTAGAGTAATGTAGAACTCTATGCCTTAATCATAATATATCCTCATAGTTTTAGCTCTTAAATAATCTTCAGGTACTGAACAGTATTCATTCATATATCTATATAGTTTGTTTTAAAGACTATTTAAATTAGTTGATGTTTTATATAGCGAATTAGTATTAGTTTGATGAACAATAAAAACAGGTCGTGGTTACGTTTTAATTAAAAGTTCTATACCTGGAAATAAACGGCTTTTTTTTACATTTTTTCTATTCGACTAATGTTAAATTATGAATAAAGTCAATTATATTTTTCTAAATTGTTTGTTATTTAAATTTCCTCTCTCACAATGACACAGACTAAAGAGTTATGACAAAGTTTTTTTATATTTTAATTTGTAGGAATCTCTTCTAAAAGATATGATTATCAAAAGTTCAAATCTACCGTCCTTTGGTTATTTCATTAAAAAATTCATTTAAGATTTTTATTAT